GACACCGGGGAGATTCCTTGTGGGGGAATGGTCACTAGGCTCTTGACCAACCTCCACCTCGATCATCATTTGCCATATAGCAAGACGGTTGGAGATGCCGCCTCCCTATACCTTGATATGAAACAATTGGGGCAAATTCAATTCATCTCCAAGCATTATGAGGAGGGGCATTATGAGTGGCTTCGGGATAACAAGCATTGGTGCTACCTTCCCAACCCATCTTTGATATCTCTCCGCCGGATGGACACCCCTAATGTGTGGCATGTCCCCAAGAGCTTCCGTCACCCCTACTTTGACTCTGATGAGGAAGAAGAAGAAGAAGAGGAAGAACAAGAATAACAACAACAACAACAACAACAAGGGCAAGTGCAACAACCTCAATTTTCTCGCTCCGACTTGGAGGCCCTAAGCAACCAAATGAGTGGGTTGCAAATTCGCTTGGAGGGCATGTATGACCAAGATTTTGAGGCCCTCTACTCCCAAATGCGAGGTATTTTCGATATGCAACAAGGTATGTTCATTCAACAACAACAACTCTATGATGCGGAGATTAACCGAGGGAACCTCACTCCCCCGGTTAACTATCCTTACTTTCCGCCCTAGCAAGGTCCTATACCTTCGCATGGGCATCCTTATTGGCAAGGGCCTTTAGTGCCCGGTACCGAGCCTCGTTCTTACCCAGACGAGCCTGGTAACTATGATTACCGTGCTCCTGGAGGGTGTGACTAAAGGGGTGACCCTAATTACCCCTATGTGCACCCTAACCATCCATTTGAGCTTACCTTGCCCGAGCAATTCACACCTCTTGCCCCTTGGCAGCAAGATAACTTCAAGGGGCATTATGGTTGGCCCGAGGGATTCACCGGAGGTTAGGATCCTTACTCACCCCCAACCTTCGATGACTACATGGGCAACAATGATTCCATTAAGGCCGGGCCAAGTGGTGGTGGTAATGATTAGTCTTAGTTCCCTCAGTTTTGTGCCTTTTACCTCCATCCCTTATGTTTTATGTGCTTGATTTGTATTGTTGGGATGTTGAGATGTATTCATGTTTAGCTTGGGGGAACTTCATTTGTATCTCGGTTGCCAATATTTGTTGTTGTTGCTTACCTTGTATTTTATTTGCCTCTTGCATGATGGTTTTCATTTTTTGGTCTCTAGTCTTGTTGATGCTTGTTGCTAGTCCCATGAGCTTGTTTTGCCATTGTTGTTGTGATGTTTTCCTTGTGATGGTGTTGATTGATTCTTGCTCCCTTATATCCAAAACCCTTGAATCCAAATCCCTTTGAATCCAAATCTTGTAGTCTAGTGTCTTTTAGTTAGTTAGTTGTTTAGTTGTTTACTTAGTCTTTCTTTACTTTCCTTTTTTTTGTCTTTGTTAGCTTAGTTTTGCTTAGTTGATCAGTGTTTTTGTTAGCTTCGTTTAGTTTTACTTTGTAGTATCTTTTTCTTTTGTTTTGAAGTTACTAACCTTTTTCTTTGTTTATAGCTTCTTTTGCTTTTCTTGTTCTCACATGGCTTTTTGATGATGCTTACGATTTTGGAGTGCAACGAAGGTGGTTCTTTCTATCGCCTTTGTTTATTATGCTATGCATGGATACCCGGTGAGACCTTTCTAATTTTTCTCTTTATTTTCTTTGGATGCATAGATTAGGTTTAGCTTAGGGGAAGTTGAACGGTTCGAGGATGATTTCTTGTTAACACGTCATGTGTTTGGGATCGTTGACGATGTTGTCATTCGATCACTTGTATGTCGATTGGGATATATGTGTTTAACTTGCTTTCTAGTTCCTTTCTCATTTTTTCCTATTCCTCCTTTATCTATGGCTTTCCTTTTCTTTTCTTTTCCTTTTATTTTTCTTTTCCCTTATTTTTACTTTGTTCTTGTCTTGGTATGTGGTATGCTTTTGAGGCTTGTTTTTCACCCCTTTTTGTTTTCCTTATGAATTGGACTTTGTACATTGGACTTTGTCTTTTGAATGAATTTCTTCCTAGGTAGTAAAGGTATGTGCGGTTTTAGAGTATGCTTGGTTGACTCTAGGATAGGTGTATGCTAAGGTAGTTGGTTTGAACTAGGAGGATCATGAAACCGGATTCTACTTGTTTGTTGTGGCATGCTTGGTAGTTGCTCCCTATAGTCGATTTGACACCACTAGTGAGTTTTTGCTACATCCATGTGAGGTTCATTGTTTTTCAAGCCTTCAACCTATTTTGTATGAGCGGCGTGGATCCTTGACTATTGCGGACCTTATCTATAAAGCTTGATTTATGATTCTTCCACCCGAGACCGAGCTATCTAGGGATGACAAAGGCATCTTTTCGGGGTGGTATTTTTCATTTTTAGGATAGTTTGTTTCATCTTTGTTTTTGGGTTTACATTTGCCTTCTTGCAACCATTTGAGCCTATTACATTCTTTTCAAGCCACATCTTTAGATCTTTGGCCTTTTGTTTCATTTTCTTTCTTTTCTTATTTTTTTTTGTGAAGCAATTGATTATTCTTGATGGAGTTTGTGGTGAAAAAGTTGGGATATGTGGTTCCCTTGATGCATGCTTGTGCTATATCTTCTTTGTGAATAATGACAAATGAGTATGAGTAAAAGCCATCCTTAATTATAAAAGGCTTGGACAAATAAGTGCAAAATTGAAAAAGCCATCATAAGATGGAAAGAGGCAAGTAAGAAGCATAGCACACAAAACAAAACAAAAAAAAATATGAAAATTGAAAAAGTAAAAACTTCAAAAATATTTTGATGTATTCTTTTCTCCTTCTAAGCATTGAGGAAAATGCTTCATTTAAGCTTGGGGGAGAAGCGTTTACGCTTTTTGTACATATTATTGTGAGTATAGCTTTGAATAATCTTGGGGGTGTAGTTGTGTTTGTTTAATGATTTCTTGATTGTGATGTTGAGGATTGATCACCCTTTTGCTTCACTATTTAGGAAAACCGCCAAATTTTAAATCTTAGCCTACGTTCACCCTTTATGCCTTACGTTACAACCTTTGGAAAATCCCTTTCGACCTAGATGTTGAGTCACTATTCGGGGGAGGGAATCATGGGTCATTGCCTAAGGACAATGGATGCATAGTCAAGATTGTCGAGTAGCCTAAATAAATCTCTTCTTCCGGTTCCTTTGAGGAATCATTGGGATGCTCAGTAAGGGGAGGTTTGAGACTAGTGGGGAGAACGCGGTAAGATTGTTTGGGATGAACTTGGATTGTGACGTCTAGTTCCTATGCTTAGCATACCTTATGTTTCAATCAACCGTGGATATCTTGGAACGTGCATACCTTGATTGCTTGAGAAAGATTTTCATTCATTTGCAATGTAGTCTCTTTGTAAGTCCATTTCGCAAAGGTTTTGTTTTCCCTTTTCCATTTTTCTTTTCTTTTTATGGTTTTGTCTCTTTGATGTTGGGGGAGAGTTATGGGTAAACTCTTAGGATACCCTTACGAGAGCATTACTCGTCCTCTAGGGCAATCTAGGAGTTTAAAATGGCTTGTTGTAGCTAAAAACAACCGTGATTCCTACGATAGTGAGTTTTAGTGTATATTCTCATCTTGAGTCTTTCTTTTTCTTTTTGAATAAGTCTTTCATCCTTATTCTTTCTTGCTTTGTTTTGCTCGAGGAAGAGCAAAATTTTAGCTTGAGGGATTTGATGAGTGTCATTTATGGCACTCATTTGGCTTCTTTAAGGATGAATTTCATGCTATTTCATAGCTCTTTTCTTTAGTTTTCCTTAGTTTTGTTCTTTATTTTTTAGTTTCTGCTTTCCTTAGTTAGTTTTCTTTGTTTGTGCATTTCTTTGTTTATTTGGTCTTTTTCCCTTTTATTTTCTTGTTTTCGTGTATTTTTAGGTTATGATCGTGTTCCGAGGATTCCCGAGCCTTCTTCTCATATTTCCCATCACTTAGGATGCCTCTTGCTTGTCATTTGGATCTCAAGTTTGAAGGAATGCAAGGAGCAAGTTCATGAGATCGGTGCATGCATGCGGTGGCGGCATCATCTTTGGCATGAACCCACCAAAATGGCCATTTCAAGACTTCCTACCTTAGTGTTCATAATCATCACCAAGACAAGCGCACGAGGATAAGCTAGGACGAAGAAGAGGATTACTCACCTGCTGCCAGGTGCGGGCGCGCCTGCCTGGGTCCCTATTCCGTACCCATTTTCTCGTGGCCGCGCCACCCCCTTGTTGCGACTGCACCTTCCGGGGTTTCATTTGGGACGATCTAACTAACTCTTCTTTTGTATCTTTCCTTTTATAGTTTTTCCTTTTATTTTTGAGGAGGAGGGAGATTAGAGAATAGAATTAGATCAGAATTAGAGGATAATTAGAGAGATTTTAGAGAGAGAACCTCTAGGTTTTTGGAGAGAGAAATTCATGGTGTATTGATGATTTCTTCATTTCCTTTGATTTTTGATCAAGTTTGTAAGGATTCCTTTTCTTTAATTCAATCTACAGTTTGATCTTTAGTTTTATTTCATTTGTTTTGTTGATTGTTCTAGTTTGATTGAAGTTTGATTGATTTGTGTTTGATTTTAGCTTGTTTGATTTGATCTTGTTGCTTAGTGTTGTTTTGATCTTAATTTCAAGGCTAGTGAGTAGATTGCTTGCTAGGGTAATGGTGAAGCATGTATGAGTAATGGAATAATGCTAATTGGGGAAAATTGATGGAGTTGACTATGTGATTAAATTGGTTGATGATCATGTGCATGTGTGTGATTAATTAAAGAGAAGCAAACTTTGATTTTTACACTAGATTGCATTGTAAGTTCACATTGATACGGACCATTGATTTGTGGCTTGCATTTAACGATTGAGGTGTCTTGTGACGTTCCTAGTTAGAGTTTATCGTAGTTGACCCTAGTTAGACCTCTAGGAAAATAGCTTGATACGCTCTTTAAAATAATAAAATGAGACCAAAAATGTAATGCAATATTACAAATCCGAGTAGTCTTTAAAAACTAAACATTCGAAGACAATAGTAAAAGGAGTAACTACATATTCTCCTCTTCATTACTCTTATCACTACTACCACTATCATTATCACTATCATTATTACTATCACTAGTGTCATCTAAAAATACATCGATGTCTTCGTCACTGTCACTGTCACTGGAGCCAATGCTTTCTTCTTCTTCTTCATCGCTTGAGATAATAAAGCCATCGTCATCATCATCATCATCATCACTATCAAGTTCATAGTCTGGAATGTCATTTGGTGGACAAAGCGTTGCATGTACTTGTGGGGAAGGACCCTGCAAAAACTCTAAATCCACCGGAGCATCAATCACCGACCTTGCTTGAGTTCTAAATACAGCCCACCATTGAACCCGATCACGTTTAAGGCTAGGGTAAGATGCATAATACACTTGAGACACTTGGTAAGATAAGACAAATGGATCATACTTGGGATACTTCTTAGTATGATTTACTTCGACAAGCTTGTATTGTTCATGAATGTTCATTCCTTTAACACAATCCATCCAACTACAACTAAACAAAATAGTCTTGTACTCTTTTTCGGGACCGGTGTAGACAAGTTCAATTATGTCGTTTAAAATGCCAAAGTACTCTCCACCGTCCTCACTTGAGACACACACCCCGTAATTCATCGTAGATTTGTGTTTGCCATAGGACTGTGTGTGGAAATTAAAGCCACCGACAAATACCTGGTTCCAAGTTCGAACACGCTTGAAAGGCCTCATAGACAATGCTCGCAACACATCAGAACTTGGTTTTTGTTCTCTCACCTATAACCTTTACGAATACAAGCATCACACTAATTGAAATGAAATATATTATATTATATTATCACAAATTAATCGAGATGCAATGTTCGAAAAGTATTATCACCTTGTGATGAAACCAATCAGGGAATTCACTTTTGCATTTCTCCATGACATCTTCTCGACGCAAATAAGTTCGAGTACTAAGAATGCAGTCCTCAAACTGCCTAATAGATTAATGACACATGGTTAATCATTGCAGCAATTATATTAAATTTAAGGGATTTTCAAAAGTTTATCGTAAACATATATACCTTTCGTATTCACCAAGAATGCCGATATTTCTTAAAATGAACAAATGAGCACGTTCGAGTTCCTTGTCATCTAAATACCGAGTTTTACCCAAATTTGACACACGACCCTTATCCACCGTGAACAGCTCTGGGATTTCATCGTTGTCAGCCAGGGATTCCACATCAGCATTCACATTTTGACCTAGATCTCGTGTTTTTGTGTCAACTGAGGGCTGAAAGTAATTGGAGCAGAAGTTTGATATCTCTTCAGTGAGATAAGCGTTGCATATGGAACCTTCAACACGAGCCTTATTACCAATTTTTCGTTTCAGGTGATTGAGGAACCTGTAATTATGTTTATGTAGCCGTAGAAGTATAAGTAACAGAAATCAATGAAAGAGATGAAAGTAAGAGTTGAGAAAGGACCTTTGATTTACCTTTCGAAAGGATACATCCATCGATATGGAACATGTCCATATAACTTGCCCTCATATGGCAAATGAATTGGTAAATGCTCCATGGAGTTGAAGAAAGATGGGGGGAAAACCTTCTCAAGCTTGCACAGGATCTCAGCTATGTTTTTTTCCAATCGCTCCATGTCGCTAACTGTAATTGTGTAGCAACATAAATCGTGAAAGAATTGGCTTATCTCTGTAATTGCATTCCATATATGGGTAGGGAGCAATTCTCTTAAAGCAGTGGGCAACAACCTCTCCATGAACACGTGACAATCATGAATTTTCATTCCATGTAACTTACCTGATTGCAAATCAACGCATCGGCTCAAATTGGAAGCGTAACCATCAGGAAACCGCAGCTGTTTGACCCACTCACACAAAACCTTTCTCTGAGCCTTGTCAAGAGAAAATGGAGCCTTTGGCATGAATTCTTCTCCTCTATCATCCTCTTGAAGATGTAGCTGGGGCCGTTTACAGTATTTAAAAATGTCATTCCGAGCTGATGGGGTGTCACAAGATTGCTTTTTCACGTCCATTATAGTGTGAATCAACTGATCAAAAAAGTTTTTTTCAACGTGCATGACATCTAAGTTGTGACGAACAAGCAGATGTTTCCAATATGGAAGGTCCCATAGAGTGCCTTGCTTGAACCATCCTTTTTTTGCATTCTTGACACGTTTCAGTGCCTCGGGACCATCTGTTGCTTTCGGGAGGTTTTTCACACATTCCCAAAGTTCCTCTCCTGACATGATGTGAGGTGGTGAACCTTTTTTGACTTTGTTTTTACAAAATGTATTTTTACTATTTCGAAAAGGATGATTTGTCGGAAGGAATTGACGATGGCAGTCAAACCAAGAAACCTTACCACCATTTTCGAGCCAAAATGCTTTGCTTTTCTGCATGCAATATGGACAAGCCTTCTTACCGGCTGTGGTCCAACCAGATAACATACCATAAGCCGGGAAGTCACTAACGGTTCATAGGATGGCTGCTCGAAGATTGAAATTTTGTTTTCTCGAAATATCATAAGTATTTGCCCCAACTTCCCACAACTGTTTCAACTCGTGTATGAGCGGCTGCATGTAAACATCCAAGTTTCCCTTAGGGTTTTTAGGACCAGGAATGAGTAACGAAAGAAACGTGAACTGTCTTTTCATACACATTGACGGAGGCAAGTTATAAGGGGTCAAAATGACAGGCCAACATGAATACTGTCCCCCAAACTGACCATGTGGAGCAAATCCATCCGTACATAGGCCAAGTCGAACATTACGAGGTTCAGAGGCAAACTCAGGAAAGCAACTATCTAGGTGTTTCCACGCTTCACTATCGCTAGGGTGTGCCATTGTGCCTTGAACTCGAGGATTTTTAGCATGCCATGTCATTTCCTCAGAAATGTTTTTAGTTGCAAAAAGCCTTTGCAACCTAGGTGTGATAAGGAAATAAAATAGAACATTCAAAGGCACTAAGCTACCTTTAGAAGTCTTCTTGTATCGGTCGCTGCCACAGACCCTACATGTAGATAATTGAGCATCATCTTTCCAAAACAACATACATCCTTTCGGGCATGTGTTTAGGGTAATTTTACCCCGCCACGTGGTCCAATCAGAGGACGACACGTGTCAGCCTCAGGATGGCCCAAAGTGGACCAATCTCTGCTTGACACGTGTCGCTCTAGAAAATAAGGGAAAAAAGGGCGACCTACAGGCCCAAATCCCGAGAAAGCCGCAAAGCGGCGCAGCCCACCACTGATTAGGGTACAGTGACCTAATCAGAGGCACAAATCCCAAAGACCCTATAAATAGGGAGATGACCCTCTTTTTGGGGACAATCTTTATCATTTATTACACACTTACTCTTTGATAGAGACATCCCGAGCTTGGAATCCGAGCAGATCCCTACCTAAATTTCCGCACCTTTTTTCTCCCTTCAAGTTTCTAACTTGTGCGTCGGAGGCGGAGCACCACCCAACTGGTGTCTCCGTTTGTTTTGCAGGTACAACTCACCTCGGATCAGTCTTCGTGTTGTAACTCTCCCTAGGGACAAAAACACCCAAAACATTTGGCGCCGTCTGTGGGGAGAGTACCTCGAAGATGGTTCAAGAGTTTGTACCCCCTAACCGTCTGGGCGAAGACCCAGAAGTCTTTAGAGACCATGAGGAGGATGAGGATCCTCAGGTCAAAACCTCCACAGCCGAAGACGGCTCTCTCAGAGTCAAGCGCATCCGGCCCAGAGAGACTCTGGAGCGGGGCACCTCCCAGGCGGGTCCGAGCAGACCCACTGGGCAGCTGAAAGAGGCAACCCAAACGGCAACTAGATCAGCCCCTGTCACCCGAGACGAACTCATGAGGTTCATGACGAGTTTCAAGGGTGAAATTACAGAGCTGATCACCAAAAGCAGGGCTGGCCCAAGTAAAGGTCAGTCGGCAAAGAAGACTCCTCCAGAGAAGGGGAAGTCAGTCAGAAATCGGCATCCCACTCCCCATCCAAAGGAGAAGGCAGCCGGGACCATTGATTGGTCAAAAATTCTCCTTCCTGGGGGGAACACCAGTAATACTCGCCGGCCTCAGCAGTCGGTGAGAATTAAAAAATCAACTCTTGATGCCCGGGAGATTATTAACCGGAAGAGAAACCAATCGCTGTCCGAGTCGGCTTCAACGTCGAACTTTCCAGACAGCTTCAACATCTCTGCAGGGAGTGCACCCTCCTTGCATGAGAGCCAGACAGGCGGTAATACCGTCCATTCTGGCCCTCATATGATTGGAGTTGTCCCGTATGTGCCTACTTAGGCTTACGGGCAGTATCCTCCTCACTTCATGCAGCCGGCCTTTTTTGTGGGTCAGGTGGCATATCCAAATGTCCAGCCATTGGACTGGCAGCTTCGTCTGCTGCGCCTGAGTGAACAACCTTCTGCGTTCACTCGGGAGATAACCGAGGCGGCACAGCCGACCAAGGTTAAGAATGTGTTGGTTGGTACCTATGATGGTTCCACCAATCCGGAAGGTCACCTCATGGCTTACACCAACCTCATGTATCTGTAGGGGTTGGACGATGCCACTTGGTGTCGATGCTTCCCGGCTACATTAAAGGGCATTGCCCAACAATGGTTTGGCAATATGCAAGCCGGGTCCATAGATATCTTCAGGAAGCTTGCCTTCCTGTTTGCTTCCAACTTCTCAATAAACATCCCTGCTAAGAAAACAAGCCTTGATTTGAGCACTGTTAAGCAGGGAGAGAGAGAAGGGTTGCGCTCATATGTCAGGCGGTTCAAGCTGATCATAATTCAGATTCAGGGGCTGTCTGATGAGGTAGCCTTTACAGAATTTTTTAAAGCTCTGAGAGACGGGTCGACCTTTAAGTTCGAACTAGTCAGAAAAGGGGCTTTCACCCTACAGGCGCCCCTGAGAGAGGCGGAAAGCTACATTCAAGCTACCGACCTCTGCTCGCCTGGTAGCCAGTTGGACTTCAAGAAGTCTGACAAACAGAAAGACAGTCGGTCAGCTCAGCTGGCTAAAAACAAAAGACAGAGCAAGAAAAGAAAAGAAGTCTAGGCGGTTACTGACTCTGACCAGCCGTCCTAGAAGAAAAATAAAGAATTTAAACCGTACGTCCCCAAGTACGAGTTTAATAAAGACTGCAAATCCATCCTCATGGAGGTAAAGGACCGGCTGTCCATTGAGAAGCCGAATCCTATGAAGAGTTCTGTCTAGACACGGAACAAGAATAAATTCTGTCAGTTCCATAGGAGGTCGGCCATGACACCAACGACTGCTTCAGTCTTCAGCGTGTGCTGGACCGTCTGGCTGACAAAGGGCTGTTGAAGTCCTACATTTCCAAGTACCCAGCCGGGGCAAAAAAGAAAAACAAGGGTCAGTCCTCTAAGACTACCCCCAGCCTGCTAGTAGTTCGGATACCGACAAGGAGCCTGTCTACACTATAGCAGGCGAGTTCTCATGTGGTGGCCCTACCATCCGGGGCACCAAGAGCCATCTTCAAAAGATAGATAAAGATGATGATGAGCAGGTGTCTGCCAGCTCTTCCTTCCCAGACGTCTTGATCACTGAAAAGGATAGGGGCAGCGTCCGCCGTCCTCATGATGATCCGGTGGTCATTGAATGTAAGGTTGCCAACCAATTAGTTGGACGGATCCTTATAGACACCGGCAGCTCATCAGACATCATCAGCCTCCGGTGCCTGCAAAAGCTAAAATACAATGTCAGCAACATGCATCCGGTCACCCACCCCTTGGTTGGTTTTGGGAGTGGTATGGTCTACCTAGCCGGAAAGATTGACTTACCCATCCGGGTGGGAGAGAAGGGCCAGGGACGACATATTGTCGTCAGATTCTTGGTCGTTGAGGAGTTGACCTCCTATAACATAATTCTTGGCAGGCCAACCCTCAACGTAGCCAAGGCAGTAATCATCCCGTCCCTCATGCTCATCAAGTATGAGAGGGATGACGGCTCTATTGGTTCCTTGAATGGGGATCAGAAGACGGCCCGAGAGTGCTATCTCTCAGCCGTCCGAGATACCGTGGTCCCAGGCGGTCAGGAGCCAATAGACCTTGACAACGTCAAGGATGCCGACCCAGCTCCTGCCCCATCAGCAGCCGGAAAGAAAAAAAAAGGCTCCTCTGCTGGTGGAGGTGAAAAAGGAGAAAAAATAGCAATCACTGACTGGTGAACGATCAGATGAGCTCCGTCCCCAACCGGCTGGCGAAAGCATTGATCTCGTTCTGGATGACAGCCGTCTAGAACGTACTATTAAGGTTGGGACGGTAGCTCATGCTACCTTGGGTGCAAGCTTACACCTTCTGCTGAAGGAATTCAAAGACATTTTTTCCTTTGAAGTGGAGGAGATGCCAGGCGTCAGCCCGGATCTTGCTGTCCACAAACTCGCCGTGGACCCCAAAAAGAAGCCCATCCGGCAAAAGAAAAGAAACCACGGTGAGGAAAGAAGTCAGGCAGCAGCTGCCGAAGTTAAAAAGCTGCTAGACGCCAGGTTCATTCGACCTTGTAATTTTCCCGACTGGGTGGCTAATGTGGTCCTTGTTAAGAAACCGAATGGGACCTGGCGCATGTGTGTTGATTACACAGACCTCAACAAGGCGTGTCCAAAGGACAGTTACCCGCTTCCAAAGATCGACAATCTGCTCGATTCTACAGCCGGCCACGCCTTGATGAGTTTTATGGATGCCTACTCTGGCTTCCATCAGATACCCCTGTGGAAAAAGGATCAAGAGAAGACGGCCTTCGTCACTGATCAGGGGTTATTCTGTTATACGGTGATGTTGTTTGGCTTGAAAAATGCGCCTGCCACTTTTCGACGGATGATTAATACGGTCTTCATCAATCAGATTGGGAGGAATGTGGAGGCGTACATTGATGACATGATAGTCAAATCCAAGCTACAGACGGATCACCTGGCTGATCTCCGAGAAACATTCACCACCCTCAGGCGGCATAAGGTTATGTTAAATCCTAAGAAATGCGTCTTTGGTGTTGAGTCTGGGAAGTTTCTCGGATTCCTAATTGATCAAAGGGGGATAGAGGCTAACCCCGAAAAGATACAAGCGGTGATTGACATGAAGTCACCCCGCTCTGTCAAGGAAGTTCAGAGACTCACCGGTTGTCTGGCCGCCCTGGGGAGGTTCCTCAGCCGGTCAGGTGACAAATGCCTCTACTTCTTCCAAGCAATCAGGAAGAAGACCAAATTTGAATGGGGGGATGATGCTGAGGCGGCGTTCCAG